TTCTTTCTTTCTTTCTTTCTTTCTTTCTTTCTTTCTTTCTTTCTTTCTTTCTTTCTTTCTTTCTTTCTTTCTTTCTTTCTTTCTTTTCCCTGTCCTTAATGTTTGAGGAAGAACAGAAAATATTTAAGACTGAAAATCTGTTTTTTTTTCTGTTCCAAGAATGGAGTTGGTAAGTTCTCCATCTGCATGCATGGGTTCCCTCTGGGTACTCCGGCTTTCTCCAAAAACATCACTGTTGGGTTAATAATCATCTCTAAATTGTCCTTATTTGTGAGTGTGTGTGTGCACAATCATTATCAGTATTCAGCTCCGATAAGATTTTGTGTCATTTTTATAAAGACATGCATTGTACAAACTAATAAAATATGTTTTTTTCTTATTGCATTTTAAAAGTGTTGAGGGAAGTAGAGGATTAATTTACAAGTAGAAACTTAACTGGTAAAGTGCATGTTCAGGTATACTTTGATACAGCAGAGGGAGAGAGAAAAGACAGAAAATGATTCAACACACTTTCAATATGGTTAAAACTAAAGATTAACTCTGTAAAGTAATTTTAAACGTTCAATATATTTAACCTGAATAAAAAACTGTATAAAACTACCTATCCATCTCATGATATAAAATTTGGCTTAAAAACAGGAGATGCAAACAGAGGATGAAGATGTGCATGGATTAAATGAAGGGGGACCTATTAATGCAGTAGCTAAATATTATTTTTACATTTTACTTTTATTATTTCAGTGGGGTTAAGGAAGCTTTATGCATGTGTAACAAATTTTTAATAAGAAATACAGAGGAGAACTCCATCTTTCTCTGCCTAAAGGCATTGGCTGCAGAGCTGCGTTTGGCTTCCTGTCAGTGTTTTGAGGAAGGGAGGGGCTCGCTCCCTCACTCTTTGCTGAAGAAGACTTAAAATCTGAGCAATCTGTGCTTCATGTGTCCTCACCAAAGTCTTCAACAAGACAGAAAAAGACACCAGATTTTTCACTAGTAATTGTTTTTTTAATTTAATAAACAAAAATGCAGTTTTGAATATGCAGTAATAGCTTTACCATCATTATACTTCTGGAGCCGCACACATCAAATGTCTCTTGGGTCTGGTCGCGAACCAGTTTTGCTGGTATGCTTCTGCACCATTGGTCTGGAATTTCTAGGGACACACAGCAGTTTCCCGCCAAAGCGCAAGGGGGAACCAAGGGGGAACTCGTGAGAACTTGGGGAGTGTTTATCTTCCAAAACAACAATGGCGCGTCTGCAGGTTATCACAGTCACAAGATGGATCTAGAGTTGCTAGACATCGAAGAGGAACAGGTTCTGTTAATGGAGTTGACAAAAAGACAGATTAACCTTTTGACGCAGTTGTCCATTGTAGTTGTTCCTCGGTTTTTAAAAATGAGCGCGCCCCGGCACCGAATCGAGAAGGACGACCACACAGACAGCTGGAAAGCCATACAAAGGACCAATCACAGCTGCTGTTTGTCTGCGCACTTCTGCTCGAGGTCTGCAAGGGTTTGCTACCGTCCGACACATAGCCAGGATTTTTTTGAGGTGAGCGACGACGGTTGCAGAACCTCTGCGCGGGGGGTGTGGTCATGCACAGAGACAGATTTGACGGTTGCAGAGGCTATGCATCAGAAGCATAAATTGGGCATTGTTCTTTAGAGGAATCGTCTTTCTGAACTGACACTTATCACGAACGGACCAATAAGCAAACACTGTGAGCAGGTGGTTCTAATTGATGAAGGCTGCAGATTCACATTTATTTGCTTATTATTTTGGATGTCATTTAAGAAAACTACAACTATAAGTAAATAAAATCCAACCCGCCAAAATGGCTTGTAGGATTGGCTGTGCTACCTACTACAATTGAAATTCACCAGCCTTTTGCAGGTATATATTTATGTATTCTTTTTTCTTCAGGAAGTTTTTCTCAGAACAGGCATTTAATCATTCCTCAATTACTTAATGAGACATACAAGGTTATATTTGTGTAGAAAAAAAACAGCAGATTTTCAAGTGCCTAAATGAAATGTTATTACCTGGTTGAAGTGCTCCAGGCTTTTCTTGATCTCAGCCAATGTATGATCCATGCCATGAACTTTGACCTCTGGGTTTTGCCTCTGGGCATCCAGACCATGTCCGACAACTTTGCTGGTATAACTGAGAGAAAAAATAATAAATTAACAAAATATTTATGAGTTTGCTGACAAAACAATAACCCTATTTTCCAATAATATATAGCAGGTTGTTGTTGTTATTAATAAAACCTGGCCTTATGTCAGTTGCTTACATTCTCAGGTTATAGCACAGCCTTATGCCTGTCTAAAGATTGTCTTAAAGAAGATTAAACAGCCATCGATTTGTGGCCTTAAGCTCAAATGCAATTATGTTATGTAGCTGGACAATGATTTTAAAAAAAACACATTAACACATGATTTGGAAATTATTTATCCATAATCAAAAGAGATAATAGAAAGCTGTAATTTTCTCCCACACAGGTATATTTTGTTTAATATGTTTACTTTTAGATAAAGAGTTTCAAAGTTTGACAAAAAACAGAATATAATTATGGAATATTTTTAAAGGAATAATTGCCTTTCTAAAGAACTGTAGCTGTATATTGCAGCATTTAATTTTAATCTAGCACTAACTCTATCAAAACCAGTTAAGACTTGTCCTTTTCCCACCCCAATCCACAAAGAGGAAACAAAGACTTAAATCAAGTACAGCAGTCATTAGAAACGAAAAATCATTAGTCCTTTATTTCTCTAATATGCAAATCAGAGCAAATTCCAAAAAACAAAAACATTAGCCTTTATGCTCCATGATGCAATACAGTTTACATCAACTCTAAATCAATTGTGGTCCTAATTATATAATTCTGCTTTGGAGCTATCCTCTGACTGAGAAAAATGCTTTGAAAATAGGTCTGGGCACAACATTGTAAAAAATGTAATTAAATCAAATGGTAGACAAGACACTTTAATCTCTGCTCTGCCTGTCTATTATTATTCCATGAGGAATAAATTATCTCTCTATTTATGCAACATTGTCTTTAGAATAAAATGAAATACTCTTTTTGTCAAAAGGAGTTAATATAACAATAATTTTGAGGGTCCTCAACAATAATTGGCTATTAAACTATAAAAATTTTTTTTACAACCCTAAAAATAAACCGGAATAAACAATTTTGTGATCTGTGGTAAGCAGAACTCACAGTCGTTTAGCATTCATTAAAATAATAAAAAATTAAAAACAAGCACCTGTGAGTTTGAGAGCATGCATATTTGCCTCCAGACTTAGCTGGAGCTGACGGTACTGGTGTGGAGTTTATCCCATCAGGCTGGATGGATAGTGAAAGGTCATAGTAAAGCTGGCACACTGTTAGGTCTATTGAAGTACCATTTGATAGTACAGTACCTAAGGGACAGATGACGCAGCAGAATATCCAGCAATAATTACTTAATAGCTAATTTAAAGCCACAGTATAATCCAGAGGATAATGACAGATCAGACTGTACTGAAAACTACTGCAGCACCAGTAATCTAAGGCTCACATCGTTATCCACTGTGCTTTACTTTAACAACACAACTTTAACAACACAACTTTAACAACACAACTTTAACAACAACACTTTTTTTCTCTACTCAACTCAGACGCTGTGTATCAGCGAACATTTCAAACAGTAACATACATGTATTACTCATGGCTCTCTGGCTCCTTTTCATGAAAATGTAATGTTTCTCAATAAATACACCATTTACACCCTCTCTTTAAGGTAGCTTTGTCTAGATTGCATTTCTCTCCGGAGTACACAGCAGCATTGACCTCTCACTTCTAAATACGCGCAGAAATGCTTTTGTGTTTAAAGTACAGGTGTAAAATAGAAAAGTGAACTTACATCTTCTTTTCATTCTAATTCTAGATATTTTTAAGAACAATTTCATTAGAAGTGTAGCTTTGAAAAAAGAAATGCAGGGACTTTGTGTGTGAATGAAAGAAAATGAGAGAATCACAAATTCCAGAAAAAGATTTTGTAGTAAGACCAACATTAAGCTTGTTGGCCATAGTAATAACAAAACTGTCAAGAGGAATTAAAATAACAATGCCTTAAATGACATACAAAGGCGATGTAATAATCTGTAAAGATGAGTCCATCTAAATACCTTAATCAAAACCAAAACTGTTAAACCTGAAGACAACTAGGTGTGACAGGAATATCCTTTAAAACCAATACTTGCATCTCACAATGGGAGTAGTGGGCTGCCACTCTGCTAAGGAGCAACACAGTGCAGGCTTAGGGATCGAACCGTTTTTCTTTGTAACCTTCTGAGAGCAAAAGCAAACTTCTCTAACTACTAGGCCACCTCTCCCCTAAAGGTAACTTAAAAGGCAACTAGAGGAATCGATAGATTCAAGATGGCGGAATGTAATGCCAGAGCATTTCTATATTAAGCTGAGAAGCTGTAATATGTTGCTGTTTAGGGGTAACTGTTCCTATACTTCCATCTGTATTGACCAGCATGTCAGTTAAATGGCACTACTGGAAATAGTGCAATTTGTATGTATTCTGAATAAATGCTTTGACACAATACATTTTGTAACAACTTTTGGTGCAATATTTCATAATCAACACCGTAGGTGACTGCGAGTAATCGTTAAAGCCCTACTTACTGCTCTAACCCTATGGTCATGACCGAAACCATGAGATTGCAGATACAAATGGTTTAAATGGGCTTCTTTAGGAACTTCCTTAAAGGAGCTTGTCCATCCACGAGAGGCTCAAAATAGAGCCTCTTCTCCTCCACACCAATACAGACGGCTAAAGTAGTTCAGACTGGTTTGTATGCCCTCTGGATGTCTTCCATGGGATGCTGGAGATACGGCTGGATACTAAAACAGCAAACCAGTAAGGACTCTTTGGCCAAAACTAAAGTGTTTCAGTCCGAAAAGTGCTTTAAGTAGGGAAGGAGGTAGGAAAATGACCCTCTACATTTCATATCATAGTTAGTTTAACAGTAACCATATGAATTTCATGTCTGCAACTAAGGAGCTAAAAGAAGTCCAATAATCCTATGCATGACATGACATAAAGGCACAGATTACCTCATAGAAATGAACAGTAACATACAATTGCTTCATATGTGCAGTGTGTGACATGGGCAAAAGTAAAATGTTTATATGTCTTGGTTTGTATAATAAAAAGATTCATCCCATGGCTAGATTTGTGTAACTTCGTTTTTTTCGTAGTTTCTTTTTTAGAAGACTGTAGTCCCAATTTGACTGGTATCATCCTAACTGTTCTTACTGTTGACCCTACGAAGGGTGAAGAAAAAGAAGCCAGGGGTAGAAACTACGGTGACCAGTTTGCTGTATTTGGATTGAGCCTATGATTATTGACTAGCCCTGTAATGCCTTGGGCTTTGCTCAGAAGAGCTGAAAGACGTGTCTGAGGAGAGGGAAGTCTGGGTGTCTGCAGAATTTGCTCACCCTATTGGTCTCAGATAAAGCTGACGAAAAGATGATGAGCACAAGGATAAACCAAAGAAAATAATAATTATATTTTGTTAACCCAAAATAACTCAACAAATGAGTTGGAACATGGTCAACATTTGTAATTGTTATTATTTACATTAATACAAAATGTGGTTATAATGCAGATAAAAAGGAACATATTTTGACTATGTAGTGCTTATTATGTATATCAAAAACTTTGAACACGGCAAAAAAGCTCCTGCTCTTTTAAGAGGCAAGCCTGAAGTCACAAGTGGGTCCAACAGTAAAAGCAAGGGAGGGGTCTAGTGGATGTCTAAAGCCAACTTACTTTACGAGCAGTGCTTGGACATGTTGAAATAGTCTAAATGAGAGGTTTTGTTCTGAAAGGCCAAACTTTTCTCACAGTGAGCCTAGGAGTATTTTGCTGTTCTACAAACACCAAAGGAACTGGTGAAAAGTCTTACAAACATTTAAGTGATGACAACTAGCTGACACTTAAAGTGAAAATAATATGTCTGAACAATTAGAAACACTCTGCAGGAGTGTCATGCCTCATAAACAACAAGATATGGCACTGACAGATTTTCTTTTTATTTTGGATTGATCATGATGAAGATTTCTTATCCCCTGGCAGTAAGTAATGGTGCATGCTGCATTTCAAAAGCACCATTATCAAAGAAAAAATACTTGTATAACAAAACGTACAAGAATAAACTACAAGTAAATAAGAAGGTCCTCTATAGGGCAGGCAAAGTTAAACTGCATGCTGTTTTTCCATTGCTCTTTTTCTCCCAACCCTCCTGCAGTTCTACTTATTATGTTGTGCTCCTGATGATCTCCCAAAGGCAACCCTTTACATATCTTTTTGAAGTCTCTTTATTTTGTACTTTTCTGGCTTTATCATCCATTTATGTTTCTGCCATTGTCCTTGGTAACCCATCTGGAATTGCATAGAATCTTGAACAGCCTTGTATGCTATAGACAAGACTGAAGCTTTTTTATTCTATAACCTTATTCACGTCGACTTCACATTTTATTAGGTCTTGAAGTGTATTCTGCCAAGTCGTCCCATCTTGTCAAAAGGAAAATTGTTTTGATTAACGTTTTGTTCTCTTTCTAGTGCTGGTTATCAACAAAACTTTTGCCTTTCTCAATTTTGTAAAGCCTCAAGGTAATCTGTTTAAGAATTGAGTTAAGGGCGCTGTGTGATTATGTGGTCCTGGCTGGAAGCCCAGAGAGCCTCCCGTCATGCTTTCCATGATGCTCAAATTTGAGGTGATAGTTGAGCAGAATCAGAAATATAAAGATCAGTACAGGAATAGAAGACATCTTGGCAACAACAAACATCCAGAACTTAGTGATGTGCTCTTTCTTGTTTTGAGGTTGCATGGAATTTGTTTTGATGATTTCATTCTGACTAACATTGATGGGGAGTGTCTGCATGACTAATCAAGAAATGTTGAGTAACTCAGAACTTATTGTTGTAATAATTCATCTAAGGCTCAGTCAACATTGATTCTTATAAGGAAACCTAAAATATAAAGCCAAAGCAAGTTGTTTAAAAACGTCTATGTTTGACTCCTTAGGTATTCATTACTGACTGAAAGGCTGTGATTTTTTAACCTTTAGGAATAGTTGTTTAATAAACAATTAAGTGTTTACT